ATGGCCGCGAGGCAGACTTGATGCGTTTGGCATTCTTGCCTGGCTTTGCAGGAGAACTTCCAAATCACCGAGCAAGAGAATGTGCAAGGCACGTCGGGGCCTCGGTCGCCTCATACATGGTTGATTCTTTGGTAGCGTTTGACGGGTCCAATAGGTGCCGCATGCGGGCCACCATCTCCGGCGATGTAAGCCACCTCTTTCTCTTGACAGATGAGCTTTACCATGAACCCCGCCATTTATATTTGGCTCGTCGTGGGACTGGTGGGCTTTTGAAGGATGAGGTGTGTGTGCTGACCGGACTTATTGGCAAAAGGTAAGGGTTGTGGGATGCACAATCCTGTTTACAACACCAAGAGCATGTCTAATCCTATCAAGAGTCCATATTGGCTTTCAGTAGAGAACGCACTTTCCGTTACATCCATCAGGAAGCAATTCGTTACCCTTCTGTCATGCGCAAGATTTCTGAGGGGCGGTAGACAGGTCGCTGCATGCTCGTGCGCTGAAGCCTGTGGGCCCATCCTCTGGTTACACTATATATAGCAGCTTGTCGCCTCTCCACCCAACCAACTATCACTGGATGCCCACATCCACCAATCCCCGATAGTCTAGTGGTGAGGATATCTGCTTGTCACCGGGGAAATCCCACGATTCGCAGGGGACCGGGGTTCAATTCCCCGTCGAGGAGTTTCTTTTGCCTTTTTGCACCATGTTTGGATTTCTTTTTGGTCTAAGATGCTATCGGATGATTTTTTTGGCTTGCGGACGACCTGATGGCGCGTCGTTGAGGTTGATATGATGCCGCGGATACTCGCGATCCCCCTCAACAAGTGCATCCGTGGCAGGTCCGTGGGGATATGCAAGTATCGAATCAAGTGCAAGATGTCTCTAATTAAGCTGATGTTCTTTCAAGTGTAGGGCTGAAGGATAGCCTTTTCACTTTGAGACTGTGCTGTTCGCCCTAAATGTCGCCCACTGCTCATGCATTCGCTGCACTTGTCCAGGCGTAAACTCGTTCCAACAGTTACTACAGATCTCGTCAGTCCACCGCGCAACTTGGCCGACATATCTCCAGGTGACAAGACTTACTCTGCTTGATAATTCATAAAGTTGTAAAGAGGATCCACGCCCGGCAAACCGGGACACGTATCCTGCCCAACCGTACAATTCCAAGACGGCGTAGCCTGCGCGGGCGTATCATCCACATAGTCCGTCCCGGTACATCCCCCCTGGAAAGTATGCGGCAGCCCGAACCAGTGTCCGACCTCGTGGACCGCCATGTACCCGCGGTCGTTTCCCGTAGGCGAGTCCGCGCCGGGGACCGTGTTGGCGTCGATCTGGCACCCGTCCAGGATGAACGTCTCGGACCCGGGGAAGGCGTCGGCTTCCGGGTAGAAGCAGCGGCCCAGGGTCGGGTGGATGGCTTGCACGTAGATGTTGAGGGCTTGGTAGGTGCCTTTGCGGAGCGCGGATTTCATGGCGAGTTCGTCGGTTGGGTTCGTGACTGTTGACCAGCTTGCGTTCACGGTGCGCGAGGTGCCGCTTAGGGTCATTGTGATGCCGTATTTGGTGAAGGTGTCGTGTAGGACTTGGAATTGCGCTTCGAGGGTGGCTTGCTGGAGTCTGGTCAGTTCGGCAGCCTATCATCAATACATGAGTATGCTCATACACTCAAGAGAGCTGTTTCATTGGGGGCAATTGAATGGAGATAAACCGGAACGGAAATGTTGGCTGCGAGAATGCTGCTCCCGCTGCTCACGTCTCTGCCTGCTAGCGATTTGGCGATTTGCTGATCGCTGGGGTCCGGGGTTCCGCAGAAGGAAGTTAGAGAGTGCAGGGATGCCTGTGCCAGTGAGGCACTCAAGAGCAGAGAAAACAGCATCGCGACGGCTGTAATGCGGTTCCTGCGACGGTAAAGACTGTTTTGAGTCCGGCGAGGGCAGGTTCTCTCAGTGAGTGACGATGTTTATTTTGGAAGTCGAATAAAGATTCGACCCGGGGTATTAGGGGATAACGGCAGACGCGTAGCCACTTTGCCAAGGTTTTTGAAGACTTCGTATTCTCGTTAAGATAGATTGGCGGAGGGGTCGATTAGCACCCCATTGCAAGGATTGTTCATTAGAGAAGGTGGTAAGAAACGAATCCGAACCGACTTGCAACATGACGTCGTTTGAGAAAGATATTGCGATACGTACAGCTTCTTCTCGAGGTTGACGACATGCTGCACCTGACATAGATGCAAGATGATTTAAATGCCTTTGTCATTGGTTATATGGATCACCACCGAGCGCTGAAAGAGATGAGCTATTTGTGGCCTTGAACTCTAACACACTAGCTTCGGTGAAGTGCAACGAAGCCGGTCGTTCCGTTCTCTGAACAAAAAGCCAGCCTACGTTCATCACGAGGAGATGATACATCAGTGGGTTCCTTTTCTGAAATACTCACCATACATGGCTGTCGAGCTAATGACAAACAAACCGCAGAGAGAACCTTACACAATGCCAATGACCACTTAGACGTTCTATTCTTTTTTTTTCTTTTTTTTTCTTTGACTAAATGCAACGAGACGTCGATCCAGTTCAGGAAGTAATTAGTAGATACACAAGGCAAGGGCGACAAGAGCTCTATAATGCAGTTGCTCCTAGATCGCCTCGAGCGGAAAACCGAAGTTCATCTACACAGTAGGTTCATCCTACCATACATTGATTGGCCAAAGGGTTCAAATGAAATGATGGGGAAAAGGCTACAAGACTGGGGATGGGAGATTCAGTGCGTTCTAGAGCCAGATACAGCGGAAACATGTTGAACTGCCGGGGTTGTGGAGGTCTCAATGTCTTCTGGGAATGAGAACTTGTAGGTTGCAGGCGAGATTCTGTCTGCAATGGGGCTCACTCATGTGAATTCGTAAAGACAAGCCAGCTGAAACGTATAAGACAGACTAGAAAAACCTCTAAGTCATGATTATGAAGTGGTTGCCATCCTCTTCTTGTCAAATTGTCTGGGTTTCAATTCCCAAGAGCATACACTTAAAATATCCTCACCAACTTCGGACTGCTTTACTTCAGCCAAGAGGAACAACAGTGGACATAGAAGCTCACAAATGTGTCTTAGAGTGACGCCTCATCTATTCGCTTCGAGGCAGGCTGTGCAAGGATGGGAATCCCTCGGCTTTCGGCAGCCTGCTGCTCATCATCATCATCCAGCCTGGTCTCACTCCTTCTATCTCTCAACCTCGCGAAAACAGCAATTCTAAACCAAGACGATATGGTCACCTGGGATGAAGATATCAACTTCGCGAGCGCTTTGCTTCTGCACAGTTGCCTGACCGTTCTCATTAAAGAACTTCTCAATCTCGTTACGATCGTCATCAGGCTGGCGCCCTTCCGCCGCAAGACTCAACCTGGAATTTCAAACTCTCGCTCGGTTCTCCTAGACGGGTACACCTCAATTCTCTCCAACGACAATGATGGCGACCTCGCCGAGCTGTACTTCACAAACACGGGCCTTCTCCTCCTGAGCGCATCACTTGCCTCCGCCATCGCCATGAACCTCTTCCTGTCCGACATGGTTCTCAACGTCTTCGTCGCCTGTACATTTGGCTTCTGCTTCGTCGTGTCTGTCTTCTCGTGCCGTCGAAGCTGGTTGCGGTTTATCCTCGCCCTGCGACGAGCGGGGCGGTTTGTGTGGTCTGATACGCCGTTTGTCAACTTCTTCTCGCTCATTTATATCGCGGTGGTGTTGAAGAGTTCGACGACTATGAGGCTGAAGGATTATGTGACACTGCGGAGTATCGCCATTATCGAGCTGGTTTTCATGAAGGCGTACATCGCGGCGGCTAGCATGGATCGTCAGATTGAGCTGTTGCGTTCTCTGCACAAGTCCCGGCTTGTGCTTTACCAGCATGGAGTTAAGGTATGGCTTCAGTTTCCCCGTTTATCTATATCCTATTATTCTTGAACACTGTTTTCCCGAGTCTCATCGTCCAGGCCAACTTAGTTCCCGAGGAGAAACTTTCTTGCTGATCTATTCACTGCAGGCACAAGAGATAGACACTATTGAGCCTCCTCGCCTCGAGAGAAGCTCAATCGTTCCGTTCACCACTGCACAGAGAATGTCGGTCATGCTCATCAAGACAACCGTTGGACACGACTTCGGCTCAGTCAGAGGCTCCAAAGGCCCCGGTAGCATCCCTGTACCCCCTACAGGCTTCTTTACGAATGACAACGTGGGTTCGGGAGACTGGCGTGTCTATCGGCTACAGGACGATGTAATGCTGATTGCCGACAACCTGCGTGCTACGTATCCGAAGGAGTGGTGGAAGAGATTGATCAAAGAGATGCACGGTATTTTCCTCAAGCAGTTGAAGAAGGTTCGGGTTGTTTACCTTTTGAGAGTGGGCCATAAGTTTGTTGGAGACGATTCCTGCGAGAGGGAAGTCTCGCTATGGGTATCGAATGTGAATCTCGTGACTGGTGTTAGTAGCTCTGTTCTAGAGTCTTACACATTTGTTGAACACGGGAGCATTGATGGCGGCAGAGTTCTATAGAGTACAGCTAGTCATAAGAGAAAGCTTGGGCTGCGAAGGTTTACGCTGGTTATGTTGATTGATTAGCTGTGATGTAACTACTAACGCTTCGTCTGGGATTCTGTATTGCAATAACTGAAAGGTAATCAAAATTTGTTTCCTTCTTAGGCTCGAAAAACTGGTTGATCAACGAGTTAATCAACGAGTTGTCTATTTCGTCGGGAATGAAGGCCTGTGGCTATGCTCCAATATTTATGAACTCTAACCAGGTGGTCGTGTCTGAAATAGATTGAGTGGTACACCAGAGTGATCAAAGCCTCAAACACAAAGCCGTCCATACTTTCCGAGCTGTAACTCTCTCGCAATGCAGATCATGTTCCTCGTCAACAGAGCATATAAGAACCCACTGGAATTCCCGAGCACCGCAGCGGCTAACGTTAACTACCCGCACCACCACTCCGCCTAATCAGACATCAAAATGCAGGTCAACAAGCTTCTCATCGCTGCGGTGCTTGGTTTTGCAACCACTGCTCTGGTATGTCGTCAAACCAGCCAGCTCTCTCTAAATCAGTCCACTAATTTGCGTGTCGGATCGTCAAATAGGCTCAGGAGGGTAAATGCACGGCCAAGGGAGAATGTCAGGAGAACATCAGCGGCGTCCGCTTGTTTTGCTCTTCAGGCAGCTGTGACGGGAAGGAAGGACAGTCTTGCACGAGAAACGGTCCTGGGTCTTCCAATGTGGCCAACTGCCCTAAATGAAGTATCCAGCTAGCATTAGGGTCGCCTTGACTATGTGCCTATAGCGCGCCCACTTGCCGCAGAGTTGCAGGTCGTATCTACAACTCTTATCTGAGGGGGACAAAATAGTTGCGGCAAGATACCCGCTACTTAGGCTCCTTGTGGTGCCTTAACACCATGGTTGAATTGAAGAAAGAGTTACAACAGTGAAACCACTCCTTCCGTTTTTCATGCGCTTCAAATAACAAGCAGGCGGGAGCTCGGCTGGATGATGTGTAACACCATGCTGTTGACACCCTCTCAGTCCTGCCTGCCTATTATTACAAGATAGCGCATTTAGGATCTGCGGGTAAACTACCTTTGTTGTATCTTGATTATTGTGACAATGGGGAAAGTCTTGTGCTGAGTGTACTGTACTAATGGAACGAAATGCTTAAGTAGTGTAACATTCTATCATCTCATCAAAACATGCCGATAAACGCAGGATACATGGCCAAAGTAAGACACAAACTTGAGGATCGATTTGAAACAAGGTGTTTTACGACTCATGTATGTGAGGTCCAGTGAGAGAAAATCTGAATAGAAGACTAATAGAGAAGGAAAAATATAGACGGGAGTGGCAACTAGACATCAAATGGTGATAGTCTCTTCAGAGAGCGGCAAGACCTTCTTTCCACACGTGTAAAACTCATATTCAGCGTCTTTGGAATGATCCTCCAGCACCGGATTGGACACACTGATAGCTCTTGCTCCTCTGGCAATCATGTCGTCGCGATACTCGCCGATGTACTTCACCACATCAGGACCCTGTCCCCCAGCGTTGTGGATGCTTGTGATGGCGTCGCCCAGCCTCAAGCCATCTGTCAGTGCACAAACACCGGCCTCTCCTCGGACTATGGGGATTGGATTAGCTTTGAATTCCCTTCAATCCATGATTGCATACTTACATGGCGTCATCGAGTGAGCGGCATCCCCGGCCAGAGTGATCCTGCCAGCAGGCAGTTGATCGACTGTCAATTGCACACTCTGAAGCACAATCCCCGGCTTCTTGTATCTCTCAACAGGCACCTTGTCGACTAACACGCGCAGACTGTCGGGATAATTCTTCGTGTTTTCTTTCGCGAATGCCATTAACTCCTCTCGTGAGGCGGTAACGGTCCAAAATGGCTTCTCTTCTGTGCTCTTGGCAGCTTCCTGGTCGATCCAGTGAAGGATGAAGTAGAAGTACCCCGTCTTCTTATCCGGGCTGATCTTGTTCATGGCGGCGAAAAGGCTTGCTTGCCATCGGTTCTCGGGCGATGAGTCCAAGACGATGTAGGCAGAATGACCCAGTTCAAGCTGATGCTTCATTTCATTAACCTCGAGTTCAATTTCGCCAACTAGCGAGCCCACAGGGAGCGGCGTCATGACATCTTGCCCGCCCAAGATGTGCTGACGCACCAAGCTCCGACTTCCCTCAGCCCCAACAAGGATGTTTCCGGTCTCCGAGCTTCCATCTTCAAAGTGTGCCACCACCTTGTCGTCTTGCTCCTCGAGTCGTACTAGACGTTTATTGAACTGCACCGGCAGATGTTGTAGAAGCCAGTCACGGAGACGCTGACGGTTGGCACGAACAATTTTCCCAGTCTCATCGTCCGTGACACCAACTCGCCACGAGGGCTTGCTGACGTCGTAGAATACGAACTGTGCCGGAATATGGTCGAGAGGGCTCAGATGGTTGGTTTGTTCGATGGGGCCAAGGTCTGCGGGCATCGACGCCGATAGTTCAGCTAGTAGAGGGCCGTGTAAGGCGATGGCCCATCCTTGAGCTCTAGCATCGGCTCTGCTGTCCCTTTCAAAGATGGAGAAAGAGATGTTGTTCTTGCGGAGTATCTGAGCAAGTGTGAGGCCGCTTAGCCCGGCACCGATGATGAGAACATGGGGATTCGACTTGGGCGACATGGTGTTCTTTTGGACGTAGAAGTAATGAATGAGAACGAGTGATGATTTGAATTGGATTGACTGGCTGTCCTTTTCGTTGTCGGCCAAAGATTTATATACATTTTGAAGACTTGTAGTCTGTCTATGAACAAGAAGCAAATCGTACCCTTGTCAGTTGCATCGGCCGCAACGTTGAAGAGGTGTACTCAGTGGATTATTCCCGGTCGGATTCGTTCATGATTCGCGCGATACTGGCGGCCAGCACTCCGTCGGCCCACCTTCATGAAGCAGCTGGAGACACCCGCGTCGCTGATCCATCAGTTTCCGCTTGCCGGGCGCATTGATCAAGTGCAAGGGTCGAAATCATTAAGGTCTTTTGATTCCCCAGCTTTTGATCGCCTTTTTGTTCACGGCAACTCTCAGAGTAGCAGCATTATTACTAAGTGACTATTCCTCCACACACATCAAGGCACAGGGCACACAGCACTTCCACTAACAAACTTGAAGCATCGATAATAACTCGTACAACTCGGTGTCTTTCTTTGCTTGAAGCTTCTCCTTTCTATTTGCTTCAAACATGTTTCCAGAGCGTCATAGGTGGAAAAGACGACAGGCTAATGTGTATAGCGTTGATGGCACGGCCATCCACAATCTACCAATCTGATCACGTCACAAGACGAGCTTCTGGCATTGTTGCCCTGCATATACTCCATAAGCTCTGCGTATCCCTTGAAGCCACTAAAATGACCTTTAGAGGTTCTGTTGGCTTCGAGTCACGGAACACCTCTCTGCGTTGTATTTTGCCATGCTTTTCAACTTTAAGAAGCACTGTTTCTACGCTTCACCCATCTAGGTAGTTCTGGCTTAGGAGCTCTGTTGCGACCTGCCATACTTAGGCGTGCAGTACCCCTCACCTTGCGACACGCCGTCTCCTCGACAGTTCGGGACGGGCCAGTGTGTTTACTTACTCGATTGCATCATCAATCGCCACATGATAATTAGAACCGGCCAGCGTGGTCTCGCGGAATGACGCGGTAGAACGACTATCAGGTTGGTTTCGAACAGCAAAAACTGGTGTCCGGATTCGCTGAAGCAGGTGGCTAGCCTACCTCCCGTAGCAACTCGTAAATCCTCGAACCGCAGCGGTGACAGGATTGTCTACTATAGTCATTTCTCCACATTAACCACAAAGTTACAGGTGAACCTACGCCATAGAAATTATTCTACGAGATCGGCGGAGGTGACCGCATGTCAAAAGTTCTGCGGTCATCCTTAACTAAGAAACGAAAGGCCAAAAGTCGCATCAAGTCCTCTCGAAAGGAGGATTATCAAGGCTAGACCCCTGATACCCCTAAAAGCGTCCTTCTCTCTATGCCAGAGAGCACAAGCCCCAAGTAACTCCAATATGATGGAAGAGAGGTCGCAAAAGAATCAGAGCATTCTTTAGCTCTTTAGTGTGATGGCGAGATGCCCCACGGTGTTCAGGCTTTCATCAATGTTCTTTATCTGCGGACTTCAGCCCGTGTCTCCCATGATGAGAGATATACGGGATTCCCACTAACAGCCTCAACGTGAGAAGGCAGAAAGTAACCTGGATCTGGGCAGTCAGTCTAATACCCTAGAATTACCATACATTTGCAAAGCTCATGGCTGAGGATTTTGTAACGTGGTATTTGACGCTAGGCACCGCAGTAGATGGATTGAGAGCTTAGGTTATTTAATTAAATTAGGCAGCAAATTGACTCAACATCATGGTTTGACGCCAGCAAAGCTTATTCTCGCCGATCATCTTCCATCGTTGTTGAACCATAGGGGCGGGTTTCCATAACCCCGATTACGGCTCGTAGATACGGATACTTCAAGTACTTGATAATTAGATTGAACCAAGCCAACCAATTGTTTACTCGATCTCGGAACCCCTTGACGGAGGCCGCTCATCCTATCAATTGCCAGTCTTAAGTTACAGCTGTATTTCGTTTACGGCACGCGACTCATCTGACGGGAATGCCGCGAAACCTGGCCCTCGTGATTATTCCTCCATGCTCATCAACAAAAGGCCCTGCTTGCAATGACTCGCAAACCAAGGAACTAAGAGAGATCTTCAACCAAAATGCCGTTGCACATTTATCTTATCGAGTGCCTCCAAGTAAACCAGCCTCTTGTTACTACGCCGTGCTGTATAAGCAACTTTCCACGTTGATACGGATCTTCCACGGGACAAAATCTTCTATTTCACCATGTTCGACGCGTCATTTCTAAACGCATACCACTACTTTGCTGCTACATTCTCTTTCAATGATGGAGAGTTTCCGGATACAATCGTACGTACTGCTGATCTTACTCGTAACGGCGAGACTTACTCGAGTACAGAGAGATGATGCATCTGACCGACACTTCGATTTTCAGACTACCATGGCGTCTGGCCTGGACACACTGCCTGAGCCGCAAAGCTTGGTCAACGTAGAAACATCTGGTCTGATGAACGTAATGCATACAGCCACGCACCACAGTCTTACTAGCAGCAACCTCGCCACCACTTACGATACAGTTGGAGGGACTCACGACATCACTCATCAACTTCCGACCACGCCAGGGGGTGACTTGGACCCAGGGCTAGATTTCTCTTTCGATACATCACCCACGACGTACACCGCGGGTTGGAACGAGAGCATGACTGCTCTGTCTGACGACTGGTTTGACGCTCCTACTAGCGATATTTACCCCAGTCCGAGCGAGACGAACAGCTCCGAACCAACGGACGTCGACGACAGCTGGGTCCCTCAGGACGTTTACCAGATAGGCTTTCAAGATGAAAATGGTGACTGGCGGTGCAGCTACGCTGCATGCCGATCCCTCGCTGCGTTTGAGCGTGCCTGTGACCTTCGGAAGCACCATTCAACACACGCCAAGACTTTCTTCTGTCCGCGCCCCGACTGTGCGTCATCCGGTATTGGATTCACATACCCCAAGGACTATAGGCGTCATCTTCGTTCTCACAAACCAAGCATTCCATGCCCCTACGCATTATGTGGCAGGCTGTTCAGCCGGCTGGATAACATGGTGAGTTCTCCGCGCCCTTTCAAGCATCCATCCGGAGACAT